CTCAGTCCCTAAGGCATGTTTTGTTTTTGTGGTGCGTAGAAGTAACGCATGGGTTGTCCATTGGTTTAAGAGAGTTCCTTTTTTAAATTTTTAAATTAAAATTTCTTTTTCAAGAGTAAATTGAATGCTACAGTGATTGCGAGTAAGTGAAAGAAATTCATGCCTTCATCTTCGTTATTGCAAAAAATATCGTCTAAATATATGCAATAAAATAAAAAAGTCATTAAATTGATCATTACTTATCAGTCAAGTTTGACTATAAAACCCCAATGAAAAGATTGGCTAAGACAGGTGCTAATGGCTTAAAAACCAGATTTAAGTACTAAAGTTCAACATTATGTAGTCTTATGTTTATACATTAGTTTGTTCTTCTTCAGTTAACCAGCTATGTCCTGTCATATTGCTTATATATAATTAAGGTGTTTCGATCGTAATAAATAGCGCTTCGCGCGAATTTTTAAACTCCAACTACGTCGCAAATTTCGATTATGTTGCACTCAAATTTTCACAGAAGTAACAGTGATTATCGATAATTCTTGTCGATAAATTAATTTTCCAAAAAGCGAAGCCATTTGGATAAACGATGCAAGATAAAAACACCTTCATTTTTCTTCAAAATTAATTTTCTCGAAACTCATAGCAGAGATTGTAATAAAATTTTCAGAATCACTTTTTAATAACATTGATATACTGACAAAGTTTCAATAAAATCCTAACCTAAACTTTCGAGTTGTTTGAGCAAAATGATGTATATTTCGAACAAATCGGAATTTTAGGTTAAGATTTTATTGAAACTTCGTCAGTTAGATTATGTTATTAAAAAAATATTCTGAAAATTTCATTACAATCTCTGCGATGAGTTTCGAGAAAATTAATTTTGAAGAAAAATGAAGGTGATTTATTTTGCATCGTTTATCCAAATGGCTTCGCTTTTTGGCAAATTAATTAATTTATCGACAAGAATTATCGATAATCACTGTTACTTCTGTGAAAATTTGAGTGCAATATAATCGAAATTTGCGACGTAGTTGGAGTTTAAAAATACGCGCGAAACGCGATTTATTACGATCGAAACACCTTAAAACTATGTATTGATCTGTACTTACAGTTTTATCACAAAATGATTCCCAGAAGAAAGCGTTTGGTAAAAGAAACCGGTATGTGTACTTCGTTTTCCTTCTTTCCGTTGTTTCTTTCTTCCATTCCTTCTCCGTTTCTCCCTGCCTTTCTTTATTTTATTGAACTATTTACTCATTTTATTTATTGATATAGTCATTTGTTGATTTATTCAGTCATTGCACTTATATATTTATTTATTTTTATGTTTGTTTGCTTGTTTGTGTATTCATTTATTTCTTCATTTCTTCATTTCCCAAACAGGAGAGCTCCAAACATAAAGGTTGAAAAAAGGTAATACTTATTCTAATGCTGAGCATAGAATACTTTCAGTTACATCTTGTGTTAGGGAAAATCTTACAAATACAACTTCGAATGTGTTTGTACATAATAATGGATGTTTTTGTACATAACCGACAGTGACTATGAAAAAAGCCCTTGTTCCAAGTCAACAAGACAAAATGAAAACCGGTAAGTAGTCCTGCCACGGAGCGAAATAATGCACAGTAGAAACAATCACTGAAGCAACAAAATTTTAATTATATATTCTAAAAAGTCCTGTCTAAGACGTTTA